TCACCCGCACATTCGTGATCCTTCCTGAAGGACCCGTTACTTTATGGCTCCGAAAGTCGCGACATCGCACATGGCCTGGTCCCTTTCTTTGCAGGCCTATTGTCAGCCAAATCCTAAGTGCTGTTGCCTGCTTTCTAACATTAATGGCTAAAGAATGCCTCGTGTCCGGTGACCCGAGGGAAATAAAGAATTGTTTGAATATGCATTGAAAATGAAGATAGAAAGGACACGGAACTTGAACTAAAGCAGCAATTAGAATCTGGCTGCCAGAAGACCCTAACTGTCTTCTGGGTCTATACTAATCAAGGGCCGAACAAAATACCGGCACGACATTCCAAGGCTTAACAGTGTTTGCAATAGAATTAACGCTAGATTTACGGATGTTGATTATATACCTATTTTTACTGAAGCGAACCAATTTGACTCATACAAGAAAAATGATGTTTTATGCAAAGAAAATAGTTCCAAATCAATTTATATGAAAGATTTGTAGCGACCAAGTTCTCATCCTCCAGTAAATGGATTCCGTGAAGCCGCGACCTCCCTTAACCCTTTCGGTACGGAGGAGCTGGCCGCGGTTATACATTCGTGGTACGAGGAAGTTTCCCACAAGATTGGTGGCATTGGAAACCACGAAAACGTGTTTTGCGGTATTCATAGAAATCTCGAGCGGGATTGACACTAAACTTTTCATTCGGACCGCGACAGTCATCGGTGACGTTTCGTGGATGTCGCCAATAGGCGACGGTAGTACCTAGAGAACGTTCCATGGCTGCCGCCATTGGGCGGCAGTAGTACCAAAAGGGTTAAATAGAAGTTCCTATGTATCACCTAAGTGATAGCACCTAAGTATCCCCGGTCTAAGAAAGGGCCTGCTAGAAGAAAGCCTTTACTGATGAATCCACTAGCAGGCCTGGGACGAAACTCATCCTTCCTTTTCCTGTTGTCGTTCTACTTGCTACTCTATCGATAGCAACGACTATCACGGGAATACCACCAG